TTATCAACCAAAACGATTACCCAAGTGATGTATAACGGTGATTATCACACCTATCTCACATGATTATCACACCCATATCACATGATTACACCAAAAATTTAACTTATCAACCAAAACGATAACCTAAGTGATGTATAACGGTGATTATCACACCTATCTCACATGATTATCACACCCATATCACATGATTACACCAAAAATTTAACTTATCAATAAAAACGATAACCCAAGTGATGTATAATGGTGACTATCACACTCATATCACATGATTACACTAAAAATTTAACTTATCAACCAAAACGATAACCCAAGTGATGTATAACGATGATTATCACACCCATCTCACATGATTATCACACTCATATCACATGATTACACCAAAATTTTAACTTATCAACCAAAACGATAACCCAAATGATGTATAACGGTGATTATCACACCTCTATCACATGATTATCACATCCATATCACATTATTACATCAAAATTTTAACTTATCAACCAAAACGATAACCCAAGTGATGTATAACGGTGATTATCACACCCCTATCACATGATTATCACACCTAGTATAATCCTAACCTATCGAAACCATTCAAAATCGTTGTGATAATGTCTAACATAACCAATTGAAACCATGATCAAATCAAGTGACATTGATATCACATGAGTATCACAACTAATCGATTAAAAACTTGTTCAAAACGAGTAATTTTGAAAGATACCTTGAATAAACTTCTTCTTGTTGTCGGCTTGTTGCATGCAATGGCTTCTCGATTAGGGTTCTTGGTCGATTAGGGTTGCTTGTTCTTGGTCGATCACCGTCGATCAAGGTTTGCTTCGGTCGGTTGTTTTGTGATTTGAAGTTATGAGTCTCCTTGAATTCTTAACTGTTTACTAGGTAATGATAAAGTTAATGATAATAATGATCGTGTTTAAAAGATTTGATGATATCATTTCCATTATTACCCTTTTATTTTATTTTTTTGAATCTTTTTCAATTTCAATTTTAATTTTAAAAATCTTTTAATTTTATTTTTTATCACAATATAAGGTTATTGGGTTGTTCTCGCGTTCTCGTAAATCACAAGGTTCTCGTTTGAACCCTTCCCTATATATATATATATATATATAACACAATATTGGTTCCTATGTGATGTTATACATATTAAATTTTGAACATGATTAAGATTTAACAAAAGAATGTTGGTCTTATATGAGATTATTGATGCTCTTTTATGGTTTTTTACTTTAATTTCATATATGTAATCATTGGGATTTAGGGTTTGTGTTAAACTAATAGTTTTAAGTGAAAAACGGTTGGTGTACGAATGAAACCACTCCTTCGTTTTATTTTTCTAATATTATTATTATTTTTTGATTTACTTTCAACATAGTTACCGTTATATACTAAAACAAGATGCATTTCATTTTTATGCGAAACGTTTTGAAGACGATTATTTAAAATTAATATCTATTAATTTATTTTTACGTTTCTTATTTTTATTTTCATTATAAACTTGAAAATCTTATGAGAAGATTAAAAATTAATACTTTGAATTGATATTTAAAAGTAAAAATAAGTATGACCAATTAATTGAACCCATAGAAGTTTGATGGTTATGCGATAGAAGGAAAATGTAAAAGAATTCTTTTTTGTTTTAAATCATTTAGTTTTTAAATTATTATTTTTAATAAATAAATTATTAAACCTTTTATTTTAAATGATTAAATTTTTGAACTATTTTTTTTTTATGAAAAAACCATTAAACTTTTACAATTTAAATGATTAAGACCCTGATTTTTTTTTTAAAATAAAAAAGACCATTGAACTTTTTTTAGTCGATTAATGTAACTTTTTAAGTTAAAAAGATGTAGGTAACCAATTTTTAAAAATGCAATTGTTTATGACACCAAAATAAAAAGTTTATTAGTTTCCAAATTTTATTTTATACTTTTTTTCTATATCATTTTTTACTATTAATATTTAAATTACATACATTAATCGAAAAATATAGAAACCGTATAAAAGTGATAATTTGATGACAGTAAAATTAAAGTTTAAAGAGTATTAAAATACAATAAATAAAATTTAAAGAGGGAGACGTATTTGAGCTTTTTGAAGCTATATTGATAAAATATAGGTTTCTTCTACCTTGTTACAAGAGACAAGAGTGTAAACGAGTCGAGTTTTTAACAAACTACTCGAGCTCGTTTACATCGAGCTCAAGTTCAATAACTCTCAAACTCAAGTCAATCTCGAACACAACATAGAACTTCTTTAACTTAACTAAGTCAAGCTTCATGACATCAATGCTCGACTCATCTCGTTTGAAAACTCGATTAAAATTTTCAAGTCGAGCCATTCAAACATATACTTTTTCGAGTCAAACATGCTCGTATGCTCATAAATAATACAATAAAAACATAAAAATTATCAACCTCAATTTAATAAACGAGTTAGTCGATCGTGAGTTCAAGCCTATAAACAAGTATTAAGCTCGAGCTAAGATAAATCAAAAAAATATTCGATCTCGAGTCTTGTTATAATTTTTTTTACTACTCGACTCGTTTCCATCCTTAGGTGGGGATGAAACACGCCTGCTCCACTCTCTTCCTGTTTGTTACATGTAAAAATATTTCTAAACATGGAACAGTGATCCCTACTCTGTTTTATCTGTATCGAACACACGGTTAAAGGTTAAAAATTACTTGAAAAAGGGCGATTAATTTGTAAGAAAAATGAAATATCTGAAAAGTCAAATACGCATTAATGAACAATCTAACGTTTATTAATTTTCTACCAATAAAATGTGTTACATATTTCAGAAAATTAAAAAAAGGTGGGGTCATATTCGGAAGAACAACTATTTTATAGGACCCAAAGATTAAAAAATGGAGATGGAATTATATGTAGACAAGGGTAAAAGGACTAGAAACTTTAAAAGCAAAACCTCAATTATATCCATTCATCATGATTTTCATGTTTATGGGCATGAATGATGGAGAGTAATTCACACATTCATTGCAACAAAATCTCAATCATCATCGCTCTATCTTTTCTCTTAGAATTACCATTTTAGAATGATTATTAATAGGGGTGTTCATGGGTTGGGTTGAAGACCTTTGAACAATTGAATACAATGCTTGCGGTTTGAAAAATGTTAACCTAACATAACTCAAACGTATGAGTTGGTTGGATTGATACTTTGGTACATTAAAATATTATTCTAACATTGAATATCTTGTTTATCTATTCATAATTTTCTTTTTCATCATCAATCATTTGATACAACTTATCTAATACTTCTTACGTGTATCACATTCAGTTAATTTTTTCAATTTACATATATATGTTTATAGTTACTAAACATACATACAAATGAGTTATATAGAGATGTGAATAGATTGAAAATGTGTATATAAAGAACGTACATGATAATGTACTTATCTAATGTATATACTAATAGAAATTTAACAATCATATTAAATCCAAGAAATAAAAGAATATTTGATTCATCGAGTTGAGTTGGGTTCAAATAATAGTAACCCAATATCTACGGTTTGAAAATTTTACAATGCAATTAGACATCGAATTGCTTCGAGTTGAGTTGGATTCAAATAATAGTAACCCAATATTTACGGTTTGAAAATTTTGCAACGCAATTAGACATCGGGTTGAGTTATTTTGTGTTGGGTTAGATTAGGTTGATCGAGGTTTTGAACACCTCTAATCACTACTAAATATAAACATGAATTTAAATTACTTAAAATAGTAGCAATAGGTTGTTTTATTTTGAAATCCACATTTGATATTGTTATAAACCATTGTTAACCACTAGATCAGAATATATGAAACAATTATATGTCAACCTTAACTTACTAAAAATAGTATACGTTATTTTATTGCTCAACTAAAGTATTGCTTTTGATTCAAAACTCTTCATTTCTAAAAAGATTTGAGTTATCGGATCCAAACCAAGACCCTTTGATAATGTTAGGGTTACGTCGTGTATTCTTTTGGAATAAACTTGACATGTATTTTATTTCATCAAAATTGTAATGAATTCGAATGATTATGGATCGAGATGGCAGAACCGATCAAAGACCAATTTACGTTTCTCAATAAATTAAAACATGAAAAATTGCCCCTTAGAGAACACAAACGAATGCTTGATATTGAGTTTTGAAGAGTGTTTTAATTTGCAAGAATAAACACATACCAATGTAACTCAATTGGCAAAAGAGTAACCCAAATTTGCATGAATACAAGATAGGTCCAGGTTAAGGTCCCCCTCCCTTGAATGGACCAAAAAATGCCCTCTAATATTGGTGTATTTGAAGGCAGGTTTCGTGTGGAGCTGGTTGGGCAATTTTCTGCCCGAACAAAACGGTCATATGACAAGTTGGTGAATAATTAATATGACAAAAGGGCAATTGGTCATTGGACTAGGCCTTGTAACCAACCCTTGGTAACCAGTCCAACTTAAAAAAATCGTAACTATTATCCATCCATAACCCGTCGGGCTTTTAATAATCGAGCTTGGACCTCTTGTCACAGAACCTTCCATAACCGGCCCAGGCCAATCCATGGTTCAGACCCAAATGCGCACCTTGTTATACTTTATAGTTTTGATTTATGGATATTTTCCAAAAGTTAATACAAACCAATAGACATGTTATCAAAGATTAAAACACGTATATTCATTCTTTGATCATGAGAATGGTGCGACCTACAAACAAGAACAAAAAAAAATACAAGTATACAACTCCAAACAAAAGAACATATGAAATGAGCAGGAGAAAATTCATATACCAAACCACAATTGGTATATTGTTTTTCTTTGTAACAGTGGGTATCCAGGTCCGCTTTTACGCACCTTGACTAATCACATGAAACCCTAATAATAACAGTCAGTAAAATCTCCAGTAACCTTAAAGAGACTCGAACTGATGACCTATGTAGAGGAGCCCTGATACGGTTTATAGAACATAACACACTTGAATACCAATAAAATAGTAGTCATAATGCAATCCAATATTTCCAGGGGTATCTTGTTTCCCGTTATAGGACCAGTTTTTGGCTCTCTTTTTTTGTCATTTTCAGTAATGTAGATCTGGTTAAAAGCTACTCACAAGCATTAATTCAAGATAGCTACTACCCTCTTTCCATGATTCCTTACCCAACAAGTACAGAATGTTTATAAAAACACTAGCAAACACCAAACCCATAAAATCAAAAGATAAAGAAATTACCACACCAAAAAAGCTGCTTCTTAAGAACAGAAACAAGGAAAGGGGTATGCACCTCCAGTCAGATCACAACAACCTGCACAACAGAATGATTATTATGGTCAAACGACTCTAATTAACGGTGTAAATTGTTCGCTTGACTCTAGAGATAAAAAATGCATAAACCAGCAAAAGCGTACAAGCATGCTTCATCAAGGTCAAAGCCATCTCTTGTGATTGACAAAATCGGTTGAATCAAATTGGAAAACAATCCACATATCTATAAAGCAGTGTATGTAGCACAGGAGTGTGTAATTTTGGACAATTTCTGTAAATTTTCTCAAGTCACTAACATCGTATGCCTTTTAACCAATCATATTGTTATATTGGTGTAATCGTCAATTCCTCTACACTTCACAACTTTCTATTTAAAACCAACAATTCAACCGTGATTTCCTAATCAGCATTTCTAGATTTCAAGAATTGTGTTAATATTACGTCTTTCTAACAACTTGGGTGGAAATTATGTGATTTGAGAAGAAAGGTTGTTAAGACGATAAGTTGATCCAAAGGGGTCTAAAATACCTAGACACAAGTGCACTCCTAGTCATCCATATGGCGGCACAAACCACGATTTAGCCATATACAGTTTAATTTGAACTGAAAAAGGTTTATCTATGATTTATTTACACTATGGTTTCATGAATTATCAACAAATCATTGTCAATAATTATAGAATTTCCTTATATTGAAAGCAAAGTGATAAAAGTATTAAACCATGTAATATTTGTTTCAAAACCTGTAACTCTGATGATCTAATAAAAAAGGTCAACATGCAATATAAAGTGCGTCCATCAGTAGTGGTGTGGGAAGTCTGGATTTAAGTTAAACATGTACAATCGAAACATAAACAAAAGGGGCACGTAGTTGAGAAAAATGAATATGAATAAGTTTAGCTGACAATCTTTATGACGTTTACAAATCATACGAAAAAGAATATGCATTATTTCAACACCAAAATTAGTGTGCTAAGTGATGATAAAGTGCTACATTCATAATATGAAGTGTATCATATTATATCCATAACCATCTTTGCCAATGCTTCCAGAGATCCTATAGGCGCCTTTGATACACCCAGCTTGATATATTTGCCCAACTTGTCATTATACTACTCTAAAAGGAGAAGAACGTAAATATATCTTATAAAAACTCATATCATTAATTGTGCTAACATATGTTATATATTATAAGAAACTTTAACTAGAATCTCTACTTTTCTTTTCTTACATAAATTCCACATATAACTACGATGAGACACCCTCACAAATCAGAGGAACAAGTTTCACGATAAACAAAAACACCATGATTTGGTAAATGCCCATTGATTGAAGGATTATGTGTGATTTACCCCATCTATGCATTAAATCTTTCCCACTACATTGACAACCTTCTCCCAGCATCATTAAAATTGAAGTTGATGAAGTGAAGCAATTTAAATGATTGCGCTCAATGGCTTGTAAAGTGTTTCACATTATATAACCAGCTTAACTGAACTATAAATTTTGGTTTCTAAACAAAACAATGGCCCATATAAGATTGGCTGAAGCTCCCTGCTCCTTTCTAAGTTAAACAAAGCAACGCAAGTTTCAGTCCTAATAAGCAACACCAAATAAGCAATCAGTGGTGCTGGCTCATGTTCTCAGCGATCGAAAGAACCATTTTTCAAAAGCTAAAGTTCAAAATCGCAGCCGCTATCCCCAGCGGTATTGATAGACAACTTTCAGCCTTTTGGAACCATCAATCCACCACTACCCTTCCCCTTTTCAGCATTCCCCAGTAAACGGGTAGGCATATATTCAATAAAGAGGGTTTCATCAGTTGACAATGTAACCTTCAGAAAGCATAATAGTGAAACTTTCAAGATAACACACACACGTAAGATGTATGTATGTATATCTAAAAATACTGAAGAAATTTCAAGCAGATGTCTTTTTTGTAGATGAGGAGGGGTGCAACAGAGAGCACAAAAGAGGCTAGAGCGAAGATCTGCTAGAAATATCTGAAAGGGGCAGAGCAGAGGTTTGCAGGGAGAGGGTACGTCCTTGAGTTAGGAATGGGTAGGGACGGGATGCTAGGAATACTGTCCGGGGAGGTTTAGGGACCATAAGGAGTATCGGTGGTCGAACGAGGACGTGCAAGTAAAGGTTAAGATGAAACAAGTACGTCTTAATACAAGGAAGCAAAGCGAGAGACAAAAAAAACAATGATTGGTGGCTAAGAATGACTCTTATGAGAAGTACCAAAGTTCAGATGCTAAGGAGGGAAAGATAAGAATATAAATGCTGACAATAGGAAGCGGAGGCATCAAGATATAAGAAACATAAGATGCACTAAAGATGGAGATCATAAGAATCTTAGACATGGCAAAGAACCCCGTACCAGGTTTGGCCAGGAAATCCCCGAGTTGACCGGGGATGGGACAGGGACGGAGAATCCCGAAATTTAGATACCAGAGACGGGGAAAGGGATAGAAATAGGGATGCCCCTCGGTTCCCAAAGCCGACAAATAATTAGTATAAACAATAAATTATATATCCTACCACCTGATGATTTTAAGACACATTCTTATAACTATTTATTGATGGTTTAATATTTTGAAGGATTGTATCTTTTAACTAATAATATATGTATAAAAATAAGATAAAAATATTTGTTTTGTGGAAAGAAAAAACATGAATATTTATAATAATTCGTATTTGATTGTATGCATCTTCTAAAAAGCTATAGTATTTGACCAAAAAAAATTAAAAAATTGTAATATATTTTTTTCCGGAAAAAGATAAGGGAAAAATAGAATATCATGATGGGAGTAGAGGGAAAATCTCCGATTCCCCGTTAGGGATGGGATTTAATCCTACTCCCCAACGGGAATGGGGATTAGAACATGATATCCCCCAGATTCTGTTGCTATCTCTAGTCTTAGTAAATGATGAGGACATTAAAGGGGTACTTTAGTACGTTATTGAACAAGGCAAGAGAGAGGAAGAAGTAGAGGGACATCAAAGGACATAAATCCATGTTTCTGTTGGTGAATTAGCATAGAGGAAATAAAGAGGGATCTAATGAAGACATGAAAGGGTAAGATAGTAGTACCAGATCAATATCATATACTCATATTGTGTCTGAGAGAGAAGGGGCACGATGTTTGACGGTGCTCTCCAATGTCATATTCAAGACTGCCACAATGCTTGAAGAATGGAGGCTTAGTATGGTGGTGTGATCATATAAGAACAAAGGTCATCCTCAAAACGGTGTGATAACTCTTGTGGCATAAAGTTACTTAGGTGAACGAGAGGTTGGAGCAGTAGAGAGCAGCACTGGAAACATAGGGGCTAGGGCTAGGGCTAGGGCTAGGGCATTAGTCGCGCAAAGGGTGAAAGTCAATATTATGACGGCAAAGGGCACCCCAGAAGAACAATTTCAGGTATCTAGGCTCCACAATTCAGAAAGAGGGCAAGATCGAGAATGACATAACAAATGGCATAAGGTAAAGTAGAAGACCACGGGGTTGGTTGTGGGACAAGAAGCACCTGCTAGAACTAAAATGAAAATTCTACAAGATAGCTATCAGACCAACTACGTTGTATGGGTGTTGGGCAACAAGAAAGGCCTATGCTGTTCCTTTACACTTACCTTTGATTATATGGTATTTTTCTTCTCATTTTCATCTCTAGCCTTGGTTATCTTTCTTTGTTCATGCTTTTTTGGGAATATTCTACTATTGGCATATACATTTTGCAAGCCGGAGTATTCACTAAAATAGCCGCTCTACTCCGGGCGCCGGCGGTAGAGAACATGTCTCCATACACCCCATCGTCCCACCCCTTCGAATGGGATATGCTAGTTGTCTAGATCGTTTGGTTTAGTTTATCTTTTTGTCTATTTTAGGAAATTACACGTCACTATTAATCCTTGTATAATAATAACTGTAATTAGCAAATTAATGGAACCTTTGCACATACAATTCACAGGGAGAAACTAAAAACGGAAAAGAAGAAAAAACTTACAAATCATTTAGCAACCATCCTTGCAATGAAGTCCTCGTACTTGATCTTCCCATCGGATCCAACATCAACCTCTCGGATCCACTCATCAAACTCCGCAGGTTCAAGCTTTTCCCCGATGCTCGTTAGTATATGTTTGAGATCCGAAACAACGACATATCCAGTCCCGTCCTTGTCGATGACCTTGAATGCATCACGGAGCTGGCGATCGAAAGGCTCCGGTTTCAAGTGCTTCGACATTAGGTCAAGAAATCGGTTAAAATCGAAGGGAGAATTAAGTTTTTCTTCGGCGATTATAGACTTGAGTTGAGCTTGAGTAGGGTTTCCGCCGAGGGAACGCATGAGGATGCCGAGCTCCGATGGAGCTATCTTTCCGTCACTGTCAGTATCAAAAAGCGTGAACGCTTCTTTCATAGAAGAAACTTGATCGTTGCTCAGATCTTTCCCCATTGTTGTCGTTTGTCTTTTTTTTTTTTTCTGAAGTTGTTCAATCTCCGTCTGAATCTTTTCTTTTGCCAGTACGTGACGGTCAGTGTTTTGGCGGCAGGTTCAACTCTGTTTAGGGCTAAAAACATTTGGCCCATAAATTATTTAGCCCAATTGGAATGGCCCAAAACCCAATCAAATATCATTCATATTCCATAATCCATACAATAAAACGTTTGTAATAATTAGGGAAAATTGCACAAAAATGGAACCAACTTTCACATGATTCCTATTTTGGGGAACGAACTTTCAAAATCGTCATTTTGGGGAACCAACTTTCA